AAGGATTGACTGTGGTGTATGCTACTTATGTTTGCAGACATAAGTATTATGTAACACCAGTCGTGTGTGGGATACCTCCGAGGCGAAGGTTCAGAAGATTGAAATGAAGAGAAAAGAGAAGGTAACTGAAAGCACTCAAGATGACAACAGGTATTAAGCTTGTAAGAGATGTAAAAGATGTCTAAATGACGTACTTGGTGTATAATTTTCACATTTTACTAAACTGCAGTGTTATTGTGTATTTACAAATAAATTGGTTGTCTTATCAAGTCTTCGTTCGCTACAATATAATCAAAATAAAGATGCAGAGAATGACAACTCAAGCGTCAACAATAACAAATCACAATTGAGGTTAACAGGAGTTCTTAATCATATGTGAGAATATTCAAACACTTCACTTCTATCGGAAGTTTGTGCTAATGATGTTATTTAGAACGACAACGAAAACCTCATGATTAAACAAATCATTCTGGAGAACGAAACTCCGCCTAAATCATTCACCTACTCTGCAACTCTTCTAAATCACAAATTATTGTCTTTATGTGTATCGTGATACATAAAACATAAATAAAAATATATTAAATACTGTCTAGTTATGTCCTGTAAACCACTACTTATTCTTTAACAGTAGCTCAAAAGTGTTTTCACAATCTTTTAAGCAATATTTAGAGTATTTAGTCACCTAGATACAAAAGATTAGCAACACTATATACTGTAAATATTCAGCCAAAACTCCAGTACTACATACAAGTTCACTTGGTATTGATTTACTTGTATCTACCCATTGTTATTTAGGACTGCAATTGATCAGTCTCTTATCCTGTGCAGATTACCTCGATATAGCCTTAAGTCGCAAGCTTTATAAGAAAAGATGGATAGTGCCTATCAGTGGAATTCAGGAAGCGCGTTTCGTCCTATTTGGCACTCGCCAGCTGGATGTATGTCCATTCCAGAGTTGATGTTCACTCCGGGACTCGAACCCAGTACCGTTCCTTTTTTTAGAAAAGAAAGATGTTTTTAAGAAATATACCTAGTCTATTTTAAGAAATATAAAATGATTAACAAATCTAAATAAGAACAGTGAATAAAAATAAAAATAATAATAATAATAATGTATATTAGCATGATATTTTAATTGTATATTTATCCCACAAAGAAGGGAAAACATAATGACCTTACGTAAAAGAATCGAAGTATTATAATATCAGGGTAATAAATTATTGTATTAATTGATGCAATATATAATTTATTGGCATGTATATTTGAATTCAGAAAAATAGTGAATCGTGTCCTTAAATGAAATACTTAGATGTACATATTAACATAAATGCATTAAATTGTATTGTACTGATTCGGTTTTCCATATCTTTACGAATGGGACGGTAATTTGCCTTAGACGAATATCTACAACAGATTCCCTTCCCAGTGTCTATTCTACAGAACTTCAACACAAATCAGATCAACAACATATGATTAGCCTGACTAGAATGTAAACACATTTTCACAGCAAAAACAGACAATACAACAACAACCAACAATCAATAATAAGGAAAGGAGGATATACAACTCATCTAACGCCAATCAAACTATTTACAAATGTGACTAAACAAACAACCAATCATTATTATGCTATTCCAAACACTGATTATATTTGCTTTAAAAATCTTGTACCAGATGGCTCAATGAAACGTTGGATCTACTTCAAATCCAATCGCTAATATTTTACAAATATATCCTTCCCAAATAATGAATTATATTAAATCAGCGCCTAAATACTATGAAACTATTCGTTCAAATTTAGACGAAAGTTCTTATATAAACAATATAATTTCTATGCTAGATTAATTGTAGGCCATAATTTAGTTTATATTAGTCCAAATATTAAGAAATGAAAAATATTAGCCATCCATTAATACTACAAATCTGTTAGAATGTGATCAGGCTCCGAATTTCCTTCTCCGAAACGGGCATCTTTTAAATTAAACAAAAAACTAAAGATATACATTTAATCACTTTTCCCATCGCAGTCAATCTCAAACTCAAAATGTCATTAAATTATTTTAATTATACACGAAAATAATAATCCTAATGTAGATGATTTCGACTTCAGTTGTTCGAAAATTATATTCAACTAACTAAGTTATCTTTTTTATTGTAATTTCGAATAATTCAATTCGCATTGATCAACAGTGCGCGAACATCTAACCACTAGATCACTGAGACTGAAGGTGCTGGGTAATTGTATCGCGTGCGGAATAATGGATGCGCACTGTCGAGGAGTTACATACTAGAACGAAAAACCCATCTAGTGCATCCAGGTTTTCAGTGATTGTCTAGCTTAGATTGACTCGTGAATTCAACTTTGAAAACATTTCAGTCTTTGTGATTCACCAAAAAGTTTACAACTTGTTCAAACTGAAATTTGTGAACATTTCTATGAGAATTTGTTGAAAGCAAAAGAAACTTATTCTTCATTTTAACACCTATGTTTACCTCTATTTTACGATGTTTCTGTTAAAAGTAAACTTGTTTTATGAAACTAGTTAGAGTTATTTTGAAAGATTATCATTTTGGAGAATGGAAGTTCTATCCACAAAATAAATTTGTTCTTAATAAAGAAAAACGCTAAACAAATGAGGTAAGAAAGACTGTTTTGTATCGAGAAAATGTGTCAACTTCTATGTTAAAGTTAACCCATTTTACTGAAACTGAAAAAATCGCAAAACTGGTTGAATCAGTTGAAGGTATTTTATATGCATACAAATATAACTATTTTTTTGTTTGAGTACACTACGCAGCATTGATTAACTGTAGTTAGGCTACGATTCAAACTCAATAAACACTCAACGGGTGCTTCATCATAGACTTGAACAGCTTGGTTGTGTTTACTCACCATTTGATTATAGCCCATATCAATATCATATTTTCTTCTGTAATTAATAATCATTGTATCAGTAAACTTTGGAACTAAGACTTTAAAAGTAAAACTGTTCCTTTAAGTCACATGATCTACCGCAAAATACAATAGAGTACATACGAGATTGTACAAATTTCATTTAAATACTATCCAGGATTTCTTGTGTGGACGTAATTAGTTGTATTGCAGTGAATTGATGATGATACAAAAATAAATGCTAAAAAAACACTATAGTATTTCATTGTCACTTTTAATATACTAATGTCAGTGATTATTTTGAGTTAGTTAATAGTCCTCAAGAAATCATATTTACAATCTCGATGGAGGTAGTATCTGGTCATAGGATTTCGATCCCCTTCACTAAGTATATCAATTATCGAAGTTATCAATGTGTTGTACAAATCATAGCTTACCTTTTGTAGAAGGGGGATGTTTACATCTTAACTGATCAGCGAGAAATAACCAACTTCATTTAAACTAAACATCATTAAATTTCCGTAGTTACTTATTTACTCTGAAGAAGTGGTTTACATTAGGTCGCGAAACGTCGGAAATACAATTTTTCTACTTATTGGGATATAACACAAATATATTTATTATTCAGTAGTTATTAGATTAACACCTCCATATAACACTGCACAAAAATTTCTTGTATGCAATAATTCATGAATCAGGAAAAAGATTTATGGAAAACAAAAAAATCCATATCATATGTACTTTTGGCGAAACTATAATTTATGGATGAACCAATCAGATTTATGATAACATGTCCTCGATTTTGGCGCGAAATTCATTCATCCATTTAGATAAATAGAGTTTTGGCATTATAGTTAATGTCAGTTCATGATGAAAAACCCTAAATCTAATTCTTAACCTTAACCATCAACTGTAAATTATAATTCTTATTTTTCAAACTGCTTTATCACCGTCATTTAGTCGTTGTAAGTAGGTAGACACTTCCACGGCCACTTTACTGTCGCTCAGAGGTCATCCATAAATTATAGTCTCACCGTATTTTTTTATGACCTTAACTAAACGATAGACAATTATAAGTGACAGAATAATTTTCAATGGTTTAGATCATGTGTCAACTGAAGCTAAACCACCATGGAAGACCTGCAAGCACTGGACAGTCGTTTCTCCCTATTGTGGGACTCCTAAGTGGCAGTGCTCATCCACGATCCCACCTCCCTCGAGATTCAAACCCAGGACCTTTCAGTCTCGCACACGAGCGCTTAACCACTAGACCACTAAGCTGGCATCCATGGGTGTTAATGTCTAACTTCAACTAATCTACAAAATTGAGCGACACATCCACTATTATTATCAGTGAATTACTGTCTCACAACTGATCCGGTTGAACCCTACTGAATATTGCTTCTCACTAGAATTCCAGCAAATACCTCTTGAAGCCAGTCACTAGCAAGCATATGTTGATTAATATCAGAAGGAGTTTTGTGGATATTATAATAATTTCAATGGTTGAGATCATGAGCCATTTGAAGCTAGACAGAATATTTTGTTGAATATTTTCTTAGAGTTAGTTGTTAAGTAATATTTTTTCTATTGAGGAAATAATAAAATTTCTAATCACATAACTTAGCAGGTAACTATTACAATCCATTATTCACAATAGTCTTCACAACTAAATAGTATATTTTGTTCTGAAAGCTTTAAATGAATATTCTCTTAAAATTTAAAGATTTTCTAGGTCCAACTAAGAAAAAAAGGATTATCGTATCATTACACAACAGTAAATTATAAATGCTTTCAAAACTACATAATTTCACCATCTCAGGGTTATTTAAACAATAATGATAATGTATATAGGTATCATTACCAGAGTTTGATTTGATAATTTAGAATAAATTGAGCATTAGGTAGATTGTTATAAATAAATAATAAATTCGTAATATCCCAATGAGTAGAACATTAGATTTTCTGACGTTTCGTGACTTAGTGTAAGTCACTTCTTCAGAGAATAAATAACCAAATTAAAATTAATTCAAGTACAACGGAACAATGCAAGAATAATATTTGATCAATCAAGGTAAACAACACCCTTTTTAAAAATAAAACTTACTTGTATGCCTAATATTAATGTTGCTTTACGTTGTATAGAAAATATTCCAATAATTCCTAATATTATTGATGTAATACAAAAAAATACAATCCATATTAATATTGCATAACTAATTGTAATTTTTTGTAATGATATAAACATTTTCAACCATATTGGATAACTAATCACTAATAATACAGAACTAAATATAATGATACCAATGATGATTAATATTGAATTCAATATCATTGAGATAATTTTTAATTTGGCCATTTGTGAATGAAACTGTTTTTGTCTAAAACGTAAATTATGCATTAATTTCGAAGTTCGTTCCATGATGATTATTCTTTTTGCTTCTTCTTTTTCTTTTTCTTTTATTCTTTTTTTCTCTTTTTTGTTTTGTTTTCTTTTAATGATTTAATTAAACGATTTTTGTAATTCTTTAAATGAATTAAATGGATAATATTTTAAATGTTATCATAATTATTGTATATTGAATTGTGTCTATGTTTAAATTTCATTGGTTTAGAATACATGTCTTTAGAAAAAAATAATTTAACCAATGAAATGAATCCAATTGAATATTTTTTAAAATTTTGACCAATCAGATGAGTCTGTGATTCACTGTGTTTTTTTAAAAAAAATGATAAGTTGATGATTCTCATACTACTATTACATTAATTATTTTGTTTGATGTTAAGTAACAAATGATCCCATGTGACTGATTATGTACAGAAATATAATTAATCTTAAATGTTATACCTAATAAATAATCAGCATCCGTTTTTAACTTAATATTTAATGAATAATGTATCGACATTGAAAACGATAAGAGCTAGGTTTATAACTCACTATGTACATTGTTGTGTCCTACGCTTCAACAAATACTCATCACATGATAAAATTGCTACTCATATTACTGATTTCTATAATCTTATTCTTGTGCTAAACCAATAATGCATCAACAAGCACTAGTAAACTTAAGTAAACTTAAATTCTCGTCCAATGCAACCCATTCAGTCTAGAACAAAAATATCAGCTACCATGTACGTCATTTATATACAAATAGATCAGACAGTATCACAAGATCAAGCCAAATATGTCTGCATGTGATACTGTAAATAATTGAATGGGAACAAATTAAGAATGACAAATAGTATAACAGTAGCCAACAGATCAGATGAAAGCTTATGATAAAAAGAATATGAATATATGTATAATCTAATTATGTAATAATCAATCAATTAGAAAATATGCAGTACTAGTCCATAAATAACTCCTAGTAGTTACTATACATTTATTCTTGGTTCGGATATAACATACATTAACACTAAGATGTAGGTAGATTCACCTAGTGAATGCTTATAATGTCAGTTACAATATTAAGCCAATATGACTTGTTCTAGATTCTGGACAATTCAATTCGTCCATTCTCCCTAAGCTACATTTTGACTTTGTGAATTACTGACTTATCAATTTTGACTGTTTTTATGTTAGTGTATGTGTGCCCTTCTTATCCCATTCATCACATGTCTGTAACGTACTTTTATCTGGCTATAAATATTGATTAAAGCTTGATTAAATGTAGTCGGTATACATGCCGTCTCTACTGCGCAGCATTCCGCTTCACTCTCTTCGCTTCGTCCCTCTGATTGCCTGTCCAGATCAATGGTTGTACAAGATATAATTAATCGAAATCCATTCTCATATTTACCTTATTAAATTTCGTCATTCAATAACGCGATTTAAATCAATAAATATATACGAAAATAGGCAGGATGTATATTTCTACAGCAATCAATTATACGATCTAACTGGAGTGAGATCTCGAACTACAAAATGTTAGACTGCCACACATTACCCTATATACATTCAAATTCTAAATTTTTAAATATCGGTCCAAAAAGCTCTAAAAGTGCAGTGATTTCAGTACACAAACAATCATCAAAGATAATATTGGATGATAGTGAAAGTATAACCAAGTGTGAATGAAAACAAAAACTGAAAACCGTGAATTTCAATTGATGTAATTTAAACTAATCATGCTTCTTATAAGATTTTGGATTTGATCAATGTCCACAGCGTTTAACTAGGACAAAATAGCTGTGCAGTTCTACATTCAATTCAAGTACTTCGTGATTAATTTCAGTGTGTAATTTTAACCATACTCAATTATAACTGTGTTCACCATAAACTATATAACGACAGTGACGAATTATTTGTCATAAAGTTCTAAATATGGATTATAAACTAATTGGATGATAAATAATCATTTTTTGACGTTTACTCATCAGTGTAATACGTTCAGAAATACATCTGAATTTTTAAAATACTATAATGAATTACGAAGTATGTAAGGTAGTGATAGGGAGTTGAAAAAATGTGATGTACTTTTGTTTCGTTATAAATGTTGCTAAATGAAAGTTATCTCAATTCTTGAAGAAATTTGTGTTTGCCTAAAGAATTCACATGTCTGAGATTTAGTTTCACAGTCAGAGAAATCAATACTGAACTATCCAGGCTGCATTTGATCACCTGTTTGACTAAAATATTTATACTAGTTTATTACTGGGTAATAGTCGATTTCATACTTGTCGATAGCCAGCGTCTTTCTGATTCCCTTCATCCACTCAATACCATAATAAGTCATTTAGATTAGTTTCAAAACTACAACAGTATTGATAGAATTCTATTATCATCAAAGTACCAGATATACACGACATATATTACTATATTGACTAATAAAACAAGATATGTCAGTTCATCATCGTAGGTCGGAATCGAGTCATCTTTTTACATGTTAGAAGGTATGTTAGAGATTTATTGGAGGGAACATCCGTCATTTGTTGTGATTTTTTTTCATTGAGTAGGTATCAATATCATATAAGCCATATCTTAAATGTCAAGGATAGTTTTAATTGCTTGTAAAGCTAACGAATGTTTCAAGATGAGAATTCATATACCATGAAAAATATCTTTTTGAATACTGAGTTGTCAAATAATTGTCAAACACGAAGTTACAATTTTATTCATAACTTACTGTATAAAAGTGGTTAACTTTTAGTGTTATTATGTGAAAGTATCATGGAAGTCTTCAGAATGAATCTCTTTATTATTTAGTGGTTAAACTGTGTATCTGATTTTATTTCCGAATAGACTTCAGTTATACGAACGGTTAAGGAGTAGCCAAATAGTAAGGGTGTTCAACCTTCGGTCTTCAAGTCACATGTTCAAACCGTACTCTACTTATTTCTGTTTGGGAAACCGGATAATATCATTGGTCATCACGTTTAGAGTGTGGTTCATGCCCAAATATTTGGCGAATGAGTTAATCCAATATCTTAATTTTATGTCCGAATGACTCAAGTCAGTTTTTTAACCATTAAAGCTAACTAGCAATATGAAATCACCAACAGTATTCAAAATAAATTGAGTAATATTACCTGCAAACTTTCACCATGTAGGTAACCTACTGTAATAATCTTGTTCAATTTGATGAATAATATTATTTTCACTTTATTTTTGTATGAAACATGATATACTCACTTAACATACAGGACAATCATTGTGAAGAAGATGAATTTAGACCTTTGAACATTCGTTTAAAAAAATATGATGGTTCAATAAGATATATTTTGAGACATTTATTTAGTATAATAGATATATAATAATAATAATATAATAGATATCACTAACTTCTAGTCTGAGCCATGTTGGTAGATGCAGACTACTTGGTTGGGGTCCGCGTGACTATCGTAACCAATGGTTGGAGACTCTTGGTGACATGGCTCAGAATCTATCACAATGGCGTAGGTGTATACACTCCCTGTCTTCCCTTAAACTAAGAGATTAAAATCACTTCATATCTTTCTTTCTACGAACCAATTCTTTCTTCTTGTACTATATCTCTATATGCAATCTTTCTTTTATATATTACCACCTTTGACCTAACCAATGCTATGAATCCGGTGTTCATCTTGTTGTGCTGATGCGGTATGGCAACCTGGATCGATGCACATATGTGCCTGGTCCTACGTTGTAGCTGACTGACATTTGACAAAGGTCGAGTTCAAGCAGAAGAATTGATAAAATGTAGCAAATAGTAATTAGTGTTCAATCTAACTTTGTAATTTCTTAAGAGAAGAAACCAATTGTTTCATATATTACTAAGCCAAAAATTTATAACTTTTGAGGTAACCACCCTAATTATTGTTTGATATGATGAAAAGAAAAGTCAATATTCGATTGATCAACTCATTATGAGTTTTGGTTCGAGATTATTTCCGTTTTGATTCATTGTAATGATTACTGAATGTAGTATTTGTATTCTTGTATAATATACGATATTCTTGTATTCCATTAACATGAACTTTGCTCAGTATGTGACTTGTTATGACTCAAAGTATTCTTCATATATGTGGTTTCATCCTAATTATTAATCAAAATAGGTGTACAATCAATATATAAATGAGTGTATTTTCTACTAGACTCGTCGTCGTCGTGTTTTGGGGTTAATAAATCTTCACTTATATCAATCTTTGTGTTCTTACTTTCGCGTCGTGGGAATTACAGAGGTCCCTCGTTCCGAGTATAAGTGACAAGCGTTTCCGACACAACAATCAGAGACGACCAGATACAAAAGTAGCATTAAAAGAGCCAAGACAATAAGCATTCAAACGACAAGATGAGTGTAAGCATAAATCTAACAAGATATTCTCACATTAAGAATAATTTCCCATTGTTTGAATAAGAAAGAATAATCAAATAGAAGTGTATAAAGATTTCACTGAATGACTGAAGTTCAATAAGTAGATTGTTAGATTTTTAAAATAACAGTAAAGACTCAGTACTTTTGAAAAGTTTCTAAATTAGATAACTATTACTCTTTTTTGTGAATAAAATTATCGGTGTGACTATAATTTAAGGATGACCTTTGAGCAACACTCAAGTGACCTTGGAAGTGTCTACCTGCTTACAATGACTAAATGACGGTGATAAAGCAGTTTGAAAATTAAGAATTATAATTTACAGTTGATGGTTAAGGTTAAGAATTAGATTTAGGGTTTTTCATCATGAACTGACATTAACTATAATGCCAAAACTCTATTTATCTAAATGGATGAATGAATTTCGCGCCAAAATCGAGGACATGTTATCATAAATCTGATTGGTTCATCCATCAATTATAGTCTTACCAAATTATTTTTTTAAATGATGTTAGTTCTGTAACGAAGTCCATCTTTATTAAAACTCATCTTTATGAAATGATGATCCTTTTCTTTAAATAAATAAAAAATACTGAAAGATCATCTGATCGAACAGATTTTTCTCTAAAATAAAAAAAATAAACTAAAACGTCACTTGATTATTAGTTTGTTTCTTTTTTCTTTTTCTTTTTCAAATCATCATCGTTTGTTTATGTCTGTTGTCATGTCAACTTTTTTCTTGTTTCTAGTTGAGTAAAAAACAAATATTCAATTGTAAGTTGTTGTTTATTTTAACTTAACGACAAAATAGCATAT